CTCATACTGTGAACGGAACTTTATTTCTGGAAACATAAATCAGATTTCCCTTCTAAGGTCCGCCAATAGTTTTGAATTAAATCAATCATCTTTTATCTTGAAACACGATCAGTGCTTAGGTCCCCAGATTTCCGAGCCGGCAGAAAATAATATACAAAGCAATGGTAAGGTGGAACCCTAAAACTGCACCTTTTTAAGTAATTATTTTGTTTTTAAAAGTGCCTGAAAATCGAGCCTTGGGTTCATACTAAACGCCTGATGATAAGGGAACAATGCCTTTTATGCGTTTGTTTTTTCTTTATAGTCTTCAGAACTGTTGATTAGGGGGAGCTTTAAAAAGTGTCTTAAAATCGAGCCTTTGGATTCGATTTTAGGCTTGACAATTAGAAAACTTTAGTCTCGATGCTTTGGTCGTTTAGAGAAAATTCTTCAAAACTGTTGCTGGGAAAAAAAACAGACCCCCCCCCCCCGCAACCCCAACTAAAAAAATACAAAATAAAACTATGCTGACGAGGATTACGTTGGACTTTAAATGAGGTTAAAAGGCTTACTGAGTTATAAAACAACGATCATAATAATTAATCTCAGATTGGCCGACAACCAATATTACTGGGTGCTCATTTTTTCAGGAAAAAACAACAACACCGGTTTCATTCCGTAAAACTTGAAGAACAGTCAATTGCACCTCTATGGAAGTTGCGACCCCCCCCCCCCCCCCCTCCAACATCACACATATACACACTTTTTCATCAAGAAGACGTAATTTCAGACCAAAACAATTTATCTTGAATAGGAGGTGCAATGGCGTCGAGCAGTGATTTCGCAGCCGAGAACTGCTTATTATGTCTCGTACCTACTAATAATCAAAAGAAACAATAATAATAAGCATCTGCATAGGATGCTAATTTTTGTGATATTCCATCAATCCCTCGAATAATTTCTCGTTATCTTTGCGCAGACTTTGTGACTGGCAAACGGCACAAAGTATCAGGAAAATATCCCCATATTACTTTTCTTACAGTGATTAGTGTCTCAGCACTATAACATTTTCTCGTCACCCATGGTGCAGACGCATGACGGTCAAAGGGTACATAGCAAAAGGCGGGAAATTAGGGATTGGAGGCTAAACAAAGTTGACTCACTATGGTATCCTTCATGAGCTGATCATAAACGAGATAAGCGATATTGGAGTCGCAGCTTCGAGACAAAATGTCAGGTGAATTTGTGCATTACAAGATGCAGGGTGTACATCGCACGAACATTATCACTTTTCAGTGCATGCAGCAGTTTAAGGAAAGAGGTGTAAAGGTTTTTTACTTCTGCGAGGAAAATATAAGTATTCGTTCTATCATGCAAAATTTAAAGGATAATGACTTCAAAATGGCGCGCCATGGCGGCTCGACCATACCAGGGACTTGAATTTACAGGCCTCTGACTCTATACGGATGTAAATAAACGATGATAGCTTACAGGGAAGGCATTGCTAAACGATAGTTGAAAGCTTTGAGAAAAATCTGGTTTTTGTTTTTCTTCATTTGTTAATGTTGAAGTTCAATGATATGATTACCATGACGTAACCTATTTTCTCCCAGCAAATTATCCCTTATAAATTAGATTGATGATATGGACTTTTTAAACTGAAGTGGCCCGAATCTCAGCGGCTATGAGAGATGGGACGAGAACTGTATCTAATGCATAATTTCATCTAACATTTGCCCCCGAGGGGTGTCTTGTGAGTGGGAGGATCGTTCCTTTAAGATAGACATCCTTGTAACGAACAAGGCTAACGCCCCCATTGCAAGTGGTCGACAAAGGCCAGTGGCTAGATTAGACCAGGAACACTGTGGTCTGATCACATCCTAAGATACGGACCAGGTCCAACTCAACATGTGGGCGTCACATGTTAGACTCCAGGTCTGTCCAGGATATCCCTGGCCTAACTTGGATCTGGACCAAATTATTGTAACTAACTAGATGCCCTGTCCTACCAGATTGCGCTTCATTTATAGAACTAGACTTTCCGTCAAAAACAGATCCAGTCTGGATTAAGAGCCATAAGTAGACATTTAACTATTCGGCTGAGGAGCACGTGATGAAAACAAGAGTATGTTTATTGCCTTGGATACTTTCCAAGATGCAAAGCCGTCTTTTAATCACTGTTATCATCATGATTAAAATCGTTGCAAGGAGACGTTGATGGTCCCACCGATGGCAACTGTGTTTGTTACTTATGTAAGGAAGATTGGGGCGTCCTGATAATAGAGTGTCCTGTGCGATGGCGTCTGGTCTAGGCGGGGTAGGAAACACGAATTCATAAACGAACACAAATTCTTGTATGCCCTGTGGAATAATTTAGTCATCAAGTTTAATTCAGTTGAATCCAAATTTCCTGACTCGAGAACATCGACAAGATGATATCACTCCAGCTCCGAATTCAATGTACTTTTTACGGTGAGATATATACAAAATACTTGCGTGTATCTTCAGCCGACCGGGAAATCACTTAGCCCTGCCTCTTCTGCAGATTTTCTGCTGTAAACAACTTGTCATTTCGGCAATCAGTGGCACCAATAATAAGATAAAAGTAAATTTCATCATCGGGAAAGGTGGAATAAATTATCAAACAATGACGATGGTTTGTTTGTTCATCTTTTATGATATAAAAAAGGAGTCTGTAGAGAGTCAGATGAGAGAAGAAAGATAGTGGTGTGCGTATATGTGTGTGTATGTGTGTGTGTGAGATGAGAGAGAGAGAGAGAGAGAGAAGGGAGAGAGGTAGAGTGAGGTAGAGAGAGGGAGAGAGAGGAGGAGACGTGAAATCAGTTAGCACAGTGATATGAGAATAGGATTTGATGTAAGCTTTGAACATAAAACGAAAAAAGGCTCTCAAATTGACAAACAAAACCCATAATTATGATCAATCAGCTCAGTGCATTTTTCTCCCTGCCAATGGTATAAATAAACATATTAATTTTGATTAATTTTAGAACTTGTCAAGGAGTCCTTCCACAGACGATGAAGAATATCCCAGGTGGCGCCAAAAAGATGCACCATAATTATGACGTCACATTGTGTACAGGCGGCGGGAGGCGGGAGAGGAAAAAATGAGTATCATGATAACGAGACACCATAGCAACTTTCTAGCGGCAAGGAAGTGTCGCCATAGCCACGTATAACATGGATGTTTTTCATTCTTAATAGCTGATGACCACCTGGAAGTTGCCGTTAGTCGAACATCCCAGGTCTTTTCGGAGAATGTGAGTGACCGATTTAGATCAATGTTTGTGTTCCTACTGTGACTAGTCATGAGCCCGTGACCACAAACACGTTTCGCTGTATGGCATCGTGTCATCGAAGCGACACTGATCGCCATCACGGCCATCCCGGGAGAGAGCTTTTTCATAATCAATGACCCTCGTGTGTTTTGTCTCTTTTACATGGGCTCACATTGTGAAATAAAACCAAGGCTGCAACTAGGGAAGTGACTTGCTGCAACCAAGCCTGACCATCAGGAGACCTCTCGGGAAATAACTTGTCTAATTCTGGGTCAAGAATGCTAGCAATAATCTGATGTGGACAAAATCAGTAATCAGTTCATTAACCTGCATACAAAGAGAAATCCTTGTAACAATTTCTTCTATTCTTGGAGAAGGACCGATTCATATCTATTCCATGATAACCGATATATTGGAATAGAATTATTCTCTAAAGTAACAAACTGTGTATTCAACATAATATGATGAAAACGTACTCCACACAATAAATATGGACCGTTCATCGAGCTTAATATTACAAATAGAGATAGGCTATAGTTTATATCAGATGGGAAGAAAGGTGTTTACTGATTGGAGAAACATTTAGAAATTGGAAACATAATAAAGATTAATCTCGATGATCAATGATGATACTCGCCAAGTTACCCAAACACATTTTTGATGGTCACAACGTAACTATTTAACTGCCCAATCATCAGATATTGAATGAAATATTCCCTTGATAATCAGACACACACGCACACTCACATGCAGACGCACAGCCCACGCACGCACATATCTTCCTTATTTCCGAAGGACCTTTTGGAATAATGATAGTGAAGTATAAAGATCACAAGCATCTTCACTGTAAGATTGTGCCTCAAGCTCCGAATTCTCATGACAATGGTATAGCATCTTGACAAGACGATGGTGACGAGATAAACTTTGAGAAACGAGATAAACTTTGAGCAACATCCTTCAATTTGTCACTTCATGGAAAGATCTAGAAAGGCTAAATCAAATTTTTACCTTACCATTGTCTTATGAGTAAATTGCCGGGGAGTAGTTTGGCTAATTATAAATCAGGAATAAAATTAGAAAACAACGCATGCATCTTTTGCAAAACTGCTATTTAGATCCACATTGTCATGGCAACTGGGAAAGCATCTTTGAGACGATGATGTTAGTGAGATAAACTTGGAGCAACGTCCTTTATTCGTCGTGTTCTTGGAAAGATCCAAGAAGAAATATTGGGCTCTTCTCTTAATTTGTTTCTCTATCTCATAGGGAACGTAGCCTACGTGAGAGTCATGACAATTTATTGGAAATATTTTAATGAATTAAAAAATTACAAATGTCATATAGAATCTGATTCCCTGCTTACATCATCTATACCCTAAATTATATCACATAGCTAGTTTAATGTAAAATCTTGCTCAACTAATTATGAAAATATATCCATTCTCATGTTTTTGTTTTTTATTTGTTAGTGTTTGTGAGGTGTTTTTTTCAGGGGGGTACGTTAGTTTAGAGATCTTTATTTTCTTAATTCAATTGAATTCAAAGTTTCGCATGGCATGTCTTTCCTGTGTGTGTCAGTATTTGATATTCAATCATGTTTCTACGTGTTCACGTCCTTTCAAATTATGTCAGGTTAAGTCAGATTGGACCTTTTTTATTTTCTCTACACTCTTTGAAAAACAATTTTTTTTTTTAAATACATATAGTAAACAGGAGAACACTAACCTTTGATTTGCCTATGTGATAGTCTGTGCAACCAGCCGCTTCGAGGATTTGTTTGCACTTTTTGGGGTGCACATCAATGTCTGCTGTTAGTGGGAAGCCAATAAACTTATACCTTTCAGACAAAAACAAAAACGAAAATTAAAGTCATATTACGATGATACTCATCTAATGTGTGAATCTCAAGAATGCAAAGATAATATCATATTGATGTTTGATCCTATAGTTATAGCCTACCAAGGGTTTGTCCTTTTTAAACATGCTGTGAAAAACGAATTTAGGAATACCATAACAAATTTACTGTAGTTTATTGTTTATTTCACGTGTAAAGTCAACTTGTATTAGTCTATTAGACCAACAGACTTTTCGAAAAGAATCCATGCTTCTTGCTAGTTGCAGAGAAACATTTCTATTCTTCTGCCAGAGGACCTATCTGACTGAAACAAATCTAATCTTCTATCTAGATGTGACCCATCGTGCAAGTATCCATTTAATCTCACTAGCATCCATGTTTTTTTTCATCAAAAAAACTCATCGAATAAAATAAATGAGTCCTCCTGAAACGTTCAATGATTAACTTACCGATGCTGGAAATCTGAGAACTGAAGCCGAGTTGGATATCCGCTCTTTCGGATCCGGATAGTCTCGAGGACGCCTGTGTACCGTAGCTGTCGAAGAACCAACTCGTGATCGAACTGGTTGTGTCGGCTGTACGAGTTCGGTTTGATACAGCGGATGAACTGGGCGTCGGCGGAAAGAAGCTTTTCCATTAAACTCGTCAGTGAGCTCTGAAAAAGAAAGGATATAAAAACAATATGTTAATAGTTAGAATTACTCACAAGAATATAGAAAACAAATATTCTAATACTTGGCGTGAAACAGACGGCATGTCTTCCACAATAATTTGTGAGAAATGCCACATACCACATTGTAGAAATATAAAGCTCTCATTAATCATGACCTTAAAAAAGTATCGATTGCAGAAAAAGGCATTTCAAATCCATATTCAATACAAATTAAAATTCAAAACATGATGATTAGGAAGGAGTATCGCTCCATTCATGAAAAATAGTTTATTAATCAGATGAAGTTCATGCTTACAATAATGAGCTTTACTGCGCACTAGTGATGCTTTCATGTCCGAGTCAACATTACTATTCTTTATGTTATTAATCTGTTAATTCAACTACACTTAGCTATGTACAATGCCCTACATCCCGTAATCCGCAGTGCGCATGCGTAATCGCCGTTGTTTACAAATTTGTTAACATACTGGTCAAGGCAAAGTTTTTTGACCGACATGTAATATCCCTGATTCAAAGAAAGGAAGGATAGACCTCGAACAATCACCTATTTATCCGGCAATCAGGGTGACATAATATTCTTCTGGTTAACCCTCTCTTTTTGACCTTAAAGGTATACGCCGTGAAAGGCATCACGTTTGCTTTGGCCCTGGGAAGGGGAAATATTAATTCTTAAATGTGAGATATGGTTTGGCAACCAATAATTGTTTGCCCTTCTCTTCTCATTCCAACATAATCACATTATGGGATGAAAAGACAAAACATTTTCACAGCAAGTCGTGTGGATTGATGTTGGTCTTGAAACTGAATTACTTCCTGCACTTCTGCATATTTGATGTTAATAGAATAATAGTATCTTGGACAAGATGGCGCCGAGTAACTTTAGAAGTGAGGGTGTTCATGTTAGCGAGTTCCCCCCCCCCCCCCCCCCCCCTCCTCCTCCTCATCCAATTCCCCCGGGCTCATGGAAGATTTTGTAGCACTTTGGGCACTTATTCCTCCCAACGCCGCGATGGCAACATAATATGACATGTGGTAGTAGCTAAAATGACGCTATTTCTAGAGTTAGTGCCCTTCTGGCTCTTAAGGCCCGGTCACACAGAGGGGACGCATGCGGGACGCACGGCCGGCGCATGGAAAATTACCAATTTTGGCCAGTGCGTTGTCGTTCGCTAGGCGTGCGTCATCACTCGTTACTCGTTCGTCGAGCGCGCTGGACCAGCGCTGGACCAGCGCTATGCATTCGTCGTCATTCGCTGTGTGCGTCAGGATTTTTTGAGCATGCTCAAAAGTGTGCGTAGAGCTCGACGCATGAATGTACACGCCAAAGGCACGCCAGACGTGCGTTGAGCGCGCTAGACCAGCGCCAGACATACGCGGGGCACACGCCCTGTATACGCACAGCGCGCTAGCTACACGCTATGCATTTTGTGTCAGCTCGCTAGCTTTTCCAAAATCATGACAAAAGTTAGGCACACGGCCTTTTCCGATTTCCAATGCGCTGGCCGTGCGTCGTAGAACGCGGTGCATGCGTGGACCATTCGTCCAGCGCGCTAGCAACACGCTGTGCATTCGTGGAAGTTGTTATCATGTGCGCTCTGGGTACGGTCTGTATGCGTACTGTATGCGCCCTGTATGCGCTCAGCGCGCTAGCAACACGCTATGCATTTGGTGTCAAAAGTTGGGCGCACGACAACGCACTGGCCAAAATTGCAAATTTCCAATGCGCTGGCCGTGCGTTCCCCATGCGTCCTCCCTGTGTGACCGGGCCTTTAGCAGACGACACATTTATTAACTAACTGCGATATAGAGGTCAATCCCTAAATTCCGGTAATCTGGTATTGTTTTGATGTTTTTAAGCAACTGTCATCTTTCGTTTCATGTTGTTTACATCTGCCAAAAATCGACGTGAAACAGAGTCCCATGACTACAAAGAAAGACTGGCAATCCACTGACCGCATTCACCCATAGTCATCCCTTAGCCGAAACGATTCGGAAGACAACAGGAAGCAATCCAATCACTTTAATTGAGGTCGCGAATCAATCTTCCTTCTTCCCTTACAGACTCTTAGAAATCGCAGGTCACTTAAGTGTGATCTACTCTCCTCCTAAGTTCACACAGGTGACGATAGATTCGTTGATTTTCATGTTACCTATGTGTTTTTTGCGACATACTTTGATATTCAATACTACGTTGCACGTAAATGTACTGCATTGATCCTGAGGTGACGACAGAAAATGTCTACATTAATTTTTATGTCAGAGAATTCTAAGATCATTTGATTCATATACTTTCATCAACAAAGGTTCATCCAAAATTTCTCCGGAGAAAGAAGATCCTATGTGCAGCTTTCCAGGTATCCAACATGACCTTAAGTAACGTGAACACGACTTTTAAAAAACTGGTGGTAAATTTACCTTTGTTTATAGAGTGTCCTTCTTTGAAAAATCGTATAATCATTTGGCTAAGTGCCCTTAGACAAACCATACCGTATACACGCTTTGGCGCGCGCTCAAACCCCATTAGCATGATGACTTATGAAACGGGACAGAATTTCCAGCAATGATTGACCTTCTTAGCCAGAAATGATTATCTTTATTACATCAACGTAAAAAGCACTTCACTTGAAATGTCTCTTTTCAAAGAAATTGGTAATAAAGAAATTCCAACTTGATTGTCCAACTTCTCCAACAATGATGCTTTTAACTTTATAGCGAAAAAGAAAATCTTTTCATGGGTGAATAAAATATAGCAAATGGAAAGCAAACGATATCTCGGAAAAAGAGACAAATAATACATAGAAAACAACTAACTCTCTCTCTCTCTCTCTCTCTCTCTCTCTCTCTATATATATATATATATATATATATATATATATATATATTCCTCTCTCTATCCCCCTTTTTTCTCAATCTTTAGGTTGAGATGTATCAAATAATACTTTTGCTTACCTTGAATTGGGATCCTACGGTAGGTATTTGGTTCTTGGACCTGGCTGCTTTAGCTCTGGCCGTTTTCTCTTCTTTCAGTCTAAAAACAAGAGCATGGAAGTAATAATCTCTTGCATTTTTTCTCGAATAAAGGTGAGCCTTCAGTTAATGAAATTGCTATCACTGACAGGCTGAGAGCTCTGAATAAAACATTGATTATCACTATATATAATTGGGAGAGATGTATCGTGCAATGCGAATTTTTGATAGATATTATCCGTCATGATTCATGAGGTATCCGATCTGCATTGGTGTGGGTTTCTTCATGAATATCATGTGTAGTCTGCGATTATTTGCTCCTCTTTTCTTCTCTCTTTGAGGTCCCATTTGAGCTTAATAAAATTATCTGCATCCCCTCCCCCCCCCCCAAAAAAAAAAAATAATAATAATAATAAATAAATAATAATAATAATAATAATGCCCTTACTGTTTCTTTAGTTTCCTAGCGGCTTCTCTGGACAGACTCACACCTGGGTTGATCGTGATCGTAGGGGCCGGCTTGCACATCAAGATATCCTTCTGATTCCTGAACGGAGTGCCCAGACCCCTTTTACTAAAAAGCACAAATAGTATAAACCATTTTGTAATTAATGCTAAATATATTAGGATGTAGTATCGAAAATAATATCGCCAGTGATATTCATTTGTCTCGCAATGTATGGTCAACAAGGGATCGAAAAGATCACGACGTTTCGTGCGCCGCTGCAACACTTCGTCAGGTGATAACGAAGTGTTGCAGCGGCGCACGAAACGTCGTGATCTTTTATTATTTTCAAAACATTCTTTAATTGTTTCCGATTAGCTGCCGAATGACACTCAATTGACATCATCTGACCAATGATGTTTCTAAAAGCATTACAATAAAACAAAATTAAAAGGAGTTAAAGTTCGTAATAATTATGTTCAGATAGGCCTATATAATATAGTGAATATAAATTGTGAAATTATAGTCTTGAATTTGAATTAAGATTCATAATCACAGTAATGCAATATCAACAATTAGAAAGAAGGAAATGTTAAAGTTTTTAACTGAGAATTGCCCCAAGAATGATATACAGAGTGACTTTAAACTTAAACGCATCGACCACATCTGTACAAAAGAATCAACTACATGAACATGTTACAGACTTAAATATCCAATCTGTTAAACAAACTATTGTCATCATATTCTAATTACTAGGACGGAAGTAGGGAGAAGGGTCTTACTTTTGTTCTTGTTGTTGAACGAAGAGGAACTTAACCAGACCATTATCTGACTTGGTCAAGCATTCAGATAGAACAGAGCTGAATGTATCACGATTCTTCTCGAGAAACCCTGTAGAGTCGTACCAGATCTGAAATAAAACGAAACCAAAAAAATAGGTAACATACAAATATACATGCAGTGCGTTGAGAGAATCTAGTTAAAGCTACAGGTTCAAACTGACTTATTTGGCAATATTGCTTCAAATTTGTCAATTGAATCGGACAGATGTATGTTTATACACTGTATTAAAATAGAAATAATCACGTATGAACATTATAACAATATCAATATATGATGAAGATTAGTATACAGGGATATAATTCTGTGATATTAAGGTAGATGGAGAACAATCTACATACATGTAGCGTAGCCAGCGGCAGCGGCCAAATGTTTCTCCATGAATGATATTTTATATTTTGTCTGCGACTTCAGGCTCACTAGTTCAGCTCAATGTGAAGGAGCATCTATTTGGGCTCCTCCCACATGTACAAGTTGAATATACTTTTGATTACAACAATAGTTGTATTGTAGATAAGTTGGGTAAAACATGTCCAATACGGGGATTAAATGAAACATGCAGATTTTGTGTGTGTGCGTGTGCACTTGTAATGACCGTCAATCGGGGAGGTTCATATGAATACACAACTTCCAACTGTGGAGACACAGCAAACCGTGGAGCTCCACAGTTGCAGAATCATTAAAACGAGATTTAAATCAGCTTTGGGACATCTCAGTAGTACCCCATCAACGTTCGGCTGCGATTTAACTCCATCCCCGGTTTCCCACTTTGGAGTCATAGCTTGCAGCCTGAATATGTGTATTATTTTCCGATCTCAAGAATAATATCAAGTGAAGAGCGCCAGCATGAGGATACACACTGCACAGTCTGTATCTTATTAGATGCAGCGCATGCGCAGTGCTGGTGCAGTGCACCTTGCGACGTGCCTGTTAACGTATATGGACATGTCATGGCGGGATTAGTACAGCCACAACTGGCAAAAGTAAGTAGAACTAGTCTAGATCTAGAAAGTTTACTTTCATTTTTAATCCAGTCTAGGCCCATTAATATTCTATCAACTTTTTAAAGAATTCCTTAGGCCTATAGATCTAGTTCTATTCATGATATTGGGTACAAAAAACTCATACATAGATCTAGATCTAATCTAGATCTAACTTAGATCTAAGTAAGATGTAGATCTAGGCCTAACGTTAGGCCTAGCCCTAGACTAGTACTACTAGTTTAGGCTACTAGTAGTAGTAGATCTAGGTCTAGTATAAGTTCTTCTTAGGCCTAACTTTAGAGTTAAACTAAAGGAATATCTAGTAACGTTAGATTCGAAGGTCTATTTCACATCAGCCAGATTTAGCCTAAATGTGTGCATGGGAAATGTGGAGCCATACTAGGTCTAGGCCTATCTGTATATAACTCACATGGGCCAGATGTGTATAAATGTGTGCATGGGAAATGTGGAGCCATAATAATCTGGGTCAGATGTGTATAAATGTGTGCACGGGAAATGTGGAGCCATAACTAGATATAGATCTACATGGGCAATATGTGTTTAAATGTGTGCATGGGAAATGTGGAGCCATAGATATATATATATTACACATGGTCATGGGCCAGATGTGTATAAATGTGTGCATGGGAAATGTGGAGCCATATATATATATATATATATATATTACACATGGGCCAGATGTGTATAATTGTGTGCATGGGAAATGTGGTCCCATGTTTATCTCAACTATTTAAGGTGGATTGAAGATTTATAAATGTGTGCATGGGAACTGTGGAGCTATTATACATGGGCCAGATTTGTATAAATGTGTGCGTTGGAAATGTGGAGCCATATCTATATATTTTATACATAGGCCAGATGTGTATAAATGTGTGCATGGGAAATGTGGAGCCATATATATATATATATAATGGGCCAGACGTGTATAAATGTGTGCATGGGAAATGTGGAGCCACATCTCTATATATATATATATATATTACACATGACCCAGATATGTATAAATGTGTGCATGGAAAATGTGGAGCCATGTTTAACTGAACTATTTAAGGTGGATTGAAGATTTATAAATGTGTGCATGGGAACTGTGGAGCCATTATACATGGGCCAGATTTGTATAAATGTGTGCATTGGAAATGTGGAGCCATATCTATATATTTTATACATAGGCCAGATGTGTATAAATGTGTGCATGGGAAATGTGGAGCCATATATATATTGATCTACATGGGCAATATGTGTTTAAATGTGTGCATGGGAAATGTGGAGCCATATATATATATATATTACACATGGGCCAGATGTGTATAAATGTGTGCATGGGAAATGTGGAGCCATATATATATATATATATATATATTACACATGGGCCAGATGTGTATAAAGGTGTGCATGGGAAATGTGGAGCCATATATATATATATATATAATGGGCCAGACGTGTATAAATGTGTGCATGGGAAATGTGGAGCCATATATATATATATATATATATATATTACACATGACCCAGATATGTATAAATGTGTGCATGGAAAATGTGGAGCCATGTTTAACTGAACTATTTAAGGTGGATTGAAGACTTATAAATATGTGCATGGGAACTGTGGAGCCATTATACATGGGCCAGATTTGTATAACTGTGTGCATGGGAAATGTGGAGCCATATATATATATATATATATAATGGGCCAGACGTGTATAAATGTGTGCATGGGAAATGTGGAGCCATATCTATATATATATTACACATGACCCAGATATGTATAAATGTGTGCATGGGAAATGTGGAGCCATATGTATATTACACATGGGCCAGATGTGTATAAATGTGTGCATGGGAAATGTGGAGCCATATATATATATTACACATGGGCCAGATGTGTATAAATGTGTGCATGGGAAATGTGGAGCCATATATATATTACACATGGGCCAGATGTATAAATGTGTGCATGGGAAATGTGGAGCCACATATATATATTACACATGGGCCAGATGTGTATAAATGTGTGCATGGGAAATGTGGAGCCATATGTATATTACACATGGGCCAGATGTGTATAAATGTGTGCATGGGAAATGTGGAGCCATATATATATATTACACATGGGCCAGATGTGTATAAATGTGTGCATGGGAAATGTGGAGCCATATCTATATATATTATACATGGGCCAGATGTGTATAAATGTGTGCATGGAAAATGTGGAGCCATATATATATATTACAAATGGGCCAGATGTGTATAAATGTGTGCATGGGAAATGTGGAACCATATATATATATTACACATGGGCCAGATGTGTATAAATGTGTGCATGGGAAATGTGGAGCCATATATATATATTACACATGGACCAGATGTATAAATGTGTGCATGGGAAATGTGGAGCCATATATATATATATATTACACATGACCCAGATATGTATAAATTTATGCATGGAAATGTGGAGCCATTTATATATATATATATTACACATGGACCAGATGTATAAATGTGTGCATGGGAAATGTGGAGCCATATATATATATATATTACACATGACCCAGATATGTATAAATTTATGCATGGGAATTGTGGAGCCATTTATATATATATATATTACACATGGGCCAGATGTCTATACATTTGTGCATGGGAAATGTGGAGCCATTTATATATTACATATGGGCCAGATGTGTATAAATGGGTGCATGGGAAATGTGGAGCCATGTTTATCTCAACTATTTAAGGTGGATTGAAGATGTATAAATGTGTGCATGGGAAATGTGGAGCCATATCTATATATATTACACATCAGCCAGATATGTATAAATGTGTGCATGGGAAATGTGGAGCCACATTTATTATTGCATATGGGCTAGATATGTATAAATGTGTGCATAGGAAATGTGGAGCAATCTATATCTATTGCAAATGAGTCAAATATGATAAGATGTGTGCATGGGAAATGTGGAGCCATGTATTTACATGACCCCCTTGATGTACATCATAATGGATGTGTTTCATAATACCTCATGATTTTAACAAATAATATAATAAAATTGAGCATGGATATGAGTAGCAATATTTTGGCAAATTCCAGTATGATTAGGGGGAGGATGTGGGGGGGGGGGGTGTAATATTTAGATATTTTCTTCCAGCTTGCTCACAGCTGTGTTTCTGCATAATATTATTAATATTTACTTGACCTGTTTCAGAATCGGATTCTCAGAAGTCAAACCAGACAGACAGTTCCAGATATTTTTAGTGAAGTTGATCCTGAAGGATTTACAGTGAAACAGCTGCCTGACAAAGGTGAGTGAGGTTACATACATGTAGATTGTATTAATAGTGAAAATTCACTGTAGCATAGATATCTAACATTAATATGCTCAATAAAATATTGATTCAGAGCTAGACTATGCAAGGAACGCCTGGTATGGTTCTTTGATCACACCTCATCGCCTATTGTCTGAAAATCACCAGCTCTTTTCAGAGTAACTTTGATACCCTTCGCAGTTAAACAGGTCAACTTCTTTAGTAAAATCTATACCCTTTCTGTATATTTCATTAATTTCATGCAGTAGAATATTTGATATGCTTTCCCTCATATTTTTCTGTTTTTATAATCTTAATTCAACACTTAATTGCGTGAAGCAGTCTTCAATGGCAAAGTGTTGAAAATAGAATCAATTACCACTACTGCATTTTCGTCTACAAAATACTCAATAATCTAGCCCCTTATTTAGAATCTTTTGGTCATAATCGTCCAGTTTACTTTGTTACTTGTCATTCTACCTTAAATCCCTTATTTATCCTGAAACCAAAGACTGAATTTAAAAAACGTTCTTTTTCTTTCACTGCTCCAAGCATCTGTAACAATCTACCGACTCATATTCGCACGGAAACTTCACTCCAAATGTTAAAAAACCAAATTAAGTCACTCCCTCTATCACTTTAATGCATGCACTGGTACCTAATGTTATATCATGACTTTTACCATAAGTTAGTTTTGTTTGTTTGTCTGTTTGCAGTTGTGTAGTCTATTTTTACGGCATGTGTATTTTTTAAAATATTT